CATATCTGGATACTAAAGGATTTTTAGTTTGAATTTAGAGTCAAATAGGACTCTAAATCGAAGCATAAAACTACATATTGGAATAATAACAAACTGAGATGATTTTGTAATTTTTAACACTGAATTGGTTAAGATGTTTATACATAGGAAAAAATGTAAAAGGATAGGCATAAATCAGGAAAGATGCTTCAACACACATACATATATGTGTGAAAGTGGTAATTAGGCAAAGAAACTATAATGTAAGAGACTAAGAACATTTTCAGATATTGATTGGCACAAGAAAAACCTCAAAATATGCAGAAAATAAAAATAAATAAATAATAATTAGCTAGTTTTTTAATCAACCAACTTTTTAAAAAAATGACTGCTCTTTCTTTTCTGATTGAATGAATAACTTCCATTTCACTCAGGATAGCAGGCCACATTATGTGAGAATTCTACTAAAGCTCAACTGAACATGCAAGCTAAAAACATCATAAATAGTGTGAAATGCATACTTGGTTCAAAAAGAGAGGAAGAAAAATCAAAAGGCAAATGAACAGGAAGGAAAATAAAAGTTGGGACATAAACAACTGCTCTTGCCCTCCCCAGTGTTTACTCTTGATAGACAAAGGGTTTAATAGCTGAGAAGGAAGCACAGTTTAGATTATGTGATGAGCAGGTAGGAACTGAGACCTTATGTGATGGAATGATATCTTCATTAAGCTATGTAATAGGAATGTATTTTTTGAATGAGTAGATGACAGCATGGTCATTGGTCTTCACCCTAGACTATTGGTGTAAAAAAGTCTTCCTTTTCTGAGATTTCATATGCAAAGGCAAATACCCATGGTGAGTGTTAAATTCCACTTCAGTTTTAACATTTACTTTCTAGTCAAGCACAGATTCTCCCACCACAGACAAAGTCAAGTTTTTTCAAAATATTAAAACCCTGGAATGGCATATGAATGATGTGATATCTGATAAAATTATAGGCACCAAAAATTTAGAGATGTGTCCACTGCTGGGTTATGGAAGAGCAGATTGATCCAACCCTGCCTAGGGCAACACAGAGGAGTTGAGGGGTGGGGCATGCAGCACAACAAGAGAAAGTCAGCTTCACTGTCTGCATGGAGGATTTGGAAATGAGAAAATGTGAGAAATTAGCTACAAGAAACACTCAGACTACTGTCAGAAAAATACCAGAGACTGAAAGATCCTTAAACCACAGAAATTCCTTTCCCACAGTTCTCGAGACTTTAAGGTCAGGGTCTATGAGGGCCCTCATCAGGGTCAAAGTTGGCTGACTTTTTGTTTCTCCACATGGCAAAAATGGCCAAGAGACCTCTCCAGGGTTCACTTTTTAAGGAAACTAATCCTATTCCTGAAGGTTCTGCATTCATCTAATTATCTCCCAAAGGCCTCACTTCTCAAATCCATGGCTCTGAAGGTTAGAATATCTACATACTCATTGTGAGGGCATGGAGACATTGAGTTCATGGGTGACGCTATTTTTATTTCAGCATGAAATTAAACTTCAGTAGCAATTGTGAATTTAAAAAAAAATTTCAGTTACTCATGCTAGGAGGTTTGTGTCCTTTGATCTTGTCAGAGACTGAGGTTTGAAGTGTGTTCCGTAGAGCACTTCTGTGAAAAGAGAGAGCAGTTTCAGTGATAGCAGAAGTATGTTTCTGTTTTATAAGGACAGCTTTCACAGGGACTTGGAAAAAGGCACATAATAGAGATAAATGTTGTATTTCTTATTTCTGATTTAATTTTTCCCTAAGAAGGGAATGGAGATTAAATAACCCTTGCTAAGGATCCCAAGTTAAAGGGCCAGCCCTTTCCCTTGCTGATTAAGCCTCTCATACAATAAAAATCCACAAACCTGGGCCCAGTCTTGAGGTTTGCCTCCATGGCCTCCCGGTTCTCACTTAAGCATTTTTTTCTCCGCAAGGAGAGGAAGAGAAGAAAAAGGCTTTCACCCATGTAACCATTCCCAGAAAAACAACAGTATTCTAGAAAATAATGCCTGAGCCATGCAATGCTTCACCCAGAAACATAGATCTCAAGCCTTGTGGTTTCTAGGCAGAAAATGAAATTAGGTGCCCAAGTGAAATTAAGTTTGAAGAATTACTGATGCATAAATGATG